GGGTTTGCCATCCGTGCATACCACCCTCAGTCATGTCCCAGAATAGTCGCCGATAAACTTCACTGCTTCAAAAATAGCCACCAACTCCGATGGCGTTGACTAAGATTTTTATGATAATATATAGCCCCGCCGCGGTGGTCTGGTGGCTAAGGTACTCGGCTGCTGACCTGCAGGTCGTGGGATCGAATCCCGGCTGCGGCGGCTGCATTTCCGATGGAGGCGGAAATGTTGTTGGCCCGTGTGCTCAGGTTTGGGTGCACGTTAAAGAACCCCAGGTGGTCTAAATTTCCGGAGCCCTCCACTACGGCGTCTCTAATAATCATATGGTGGTTTTGGGACGTTATAGCCCACACATAAATCAATAATCAATCATGATAATATATAGACTCTCTTTTCTTCAAGCTTTGATATTAAGACCGAGGCCAATGCTTCTTCAGTGCAGGACCCAGCTGTAGATATTTTGATCTTCTATTGTGCATTGTGTAAAAGTAATGAAACGCCATTTTTAACACCACTAGATGTGCCATGTCGGCTGTCTTGCGTATACCGTCTATCTCACAGATAATGTTCAGATCCGGGAACGTACAGTGTGGTTTGGACGGTGTCCATTGTTTATATCCTGGTACTATTGCTCGGAATGATGACCCACTATCCTGTAGTCATGGTGCAGTCCTGTGTGTTAGTCCGCCAGATAAAAGATGACTGTCATTTTGCGTGAAAATTCTAAATAAATGTGTGGACGTTCATCTCACTCGGTGTATTATATCAAAAGTGGTTGTCTTTTTACCGCATACAATAATTCGCAAGAAGTCGGCCCTGGTGACCCCAGCAATATTCACAGGCTTCTTGCCAGTGGCTTCGCCAAGTGAATTCTTTCGATAGAGGCTGAAAGTCTGTGCAGCAGAGGGAGGAAGTAACTCACCATCTATTAGCAATAATGACTTTATTCTAAGAATATGCATGGCATAGCAATGTGTCAAGGCGCATTTAATCACTTAAGTAGGCAGAGTTACGAACTTGCATTCTGCACTTAGGAGCGGTTGTCGCACAAGGGCATAAGTGGGGATGCGGGCCTCGTGTTGCGAGATTGAGCTAGTTGGTGGCCTATCGTCTACGTGAACAGCATAATAGAAGATGTGAGGGCAAAGTGAGACAGTGGTTTTCACGTTTCGTTCTCGTCCTTTCATTGCCTCTCGAGCGGTCCAGATTTAAACCGGGACATAGGCTGGCAAATCCACCCATACGTATAGTAAGTCAGAGTTCAAGCGAAGCCTAAGTGCAACACATATTTCCAGACTCAGTCCGCAATGTCGACTTGAGAGGACATTGGGGATGAAGGCAACGAAGGCGGAGCTCAACTTTCGGAAGGCAACATACTTGTACCACCGATTATAAACTTACTGTGGTATGGTGACTCTAAAGTGCGACTTTAAGTGCACCCTAGCTCCTCTCTCTGTCTCTTTCTTCATTTTTAAAACTCCCCAACCCCTTCCTCCTTTGTAGGGTAGCATACTAGTCTGCTTAAAATGGTTATTATCCCTGCCTTCTTTTCCTTCCTGAGTGAGGCCGAATGAGCTCCACTTTTTATTGCCGACCTATGGTATTATCTGCTAACCTATCAGCGTAACTGTACCTGCCTCGTATCGGCCTAGGTTTGTATCCAAGAGTATTCCCATATGCCTCAACGCACTAGCTTTCATGCCCCAACTCAATGTCAAATGACCAGAGGCCTGAGTTTTGCCGGGCGGGGGCGCCAAGACCTCTCCCAAAAAATTCTTTCGTGAAACCTTTGGGATAGAAATATCGCGTATAGGTCGCTTATATATAAAAACGTCCTTACTAAATTGAAACCACTAGTAACCCGTATATTTGAAGCTATAAGATCTAAAGGCGCATCATAGAGCACTGATTGTGTGAGATATAGGTGTGAAAGAGCATTTACACTATGATCGGAAAGCTTATTCTATACCAGCGGACTCATGAGTCGATTCACTGAGACTCACTCCGACTAGAGTCAAGCAATAAGTCCGAGTCTGACTGAGTCTGGCTGATTTATATGTATGAGACATTGAGTCCGAATGAGTCCAGTAGAAAAAAAAGGTTAGTGCGTCCGAGTGAGTTTGGTTCAGGAAATTTTCGGTGAGTCTGAGTGCGAAGAAGCTCTCAGAGCAAAACGTGTTTTTTGAGCCAGTCTGAGGGAGTTACAGTTTTTTTCGCCAACCAATGACTCTAGGTGCTGTATGCAAAATAGCCTGAGCTTCTCTGGAACACGAGTTTGCTCCAATCTTACCCTACGGCGGTCAAGACACGAACACAGTGCTGGACGCGCGATAGCAGCATTTATAAAAAGGGTGGCAAGAAACAGCATGGCGCCAAATATGCATGTGTGACATTTCTGGTAGTTTTCAAAAGAACACCACGTGCGAACGCATCAGCTCCGCCACTCAGTCAACATTCCAAAAGTGCATGACTGTTTTGAAATCAGAGCGCACTGCTTAGACGCTGACAGAAAGACAGGGACAAGCGTTTACTACCAACGTAAAATTTATTCAGAAAACTATGAAATATGTAGTGACAGATGAAACAGTGTCATGGCACATACGATAAGACCAAATCATGGACCAAAATAACCGAACAGATAATTGAGGCACCATACATAGCGCGTGAACACCAGACTTGCATCAGCAAACCATCGATAGCTCTGTTCGATAAGGAGCTAGCATTTTTAGACAATAGCAGATGCCATAGGAGTTAAGTAATCACTCGAAATCACAGTAGGCGTTGGTAGCGTGGGGCTGGCGTACATAGATGTTTAGGCGGTTATATATATATATATATATATATATATATATATATATATATATATATATATATATATATATATATGTGTGTGTGTGTGTGTGTGTGTGTGTGACTCATAATTGAAGATTACGTTGCTCTTGCGTTCTTTTGAAATTAGCAAATGCAAAATGCAAGACGTCTATATGGGTATTTCGCAGTGTGGTACTGAAATAATACGGAGGAAAGAAGACTCTATATATATGTGCGGAGGGACATATATATCTGTGTGTGACAGAGGAATAGTGCGCGGGAGAAAATCAGACGCAGAAAGTGCAGAGCTCGAGATGGTCACTAATAGAACGCTTACTAATAGATAAGCTTACTAGCATAATTGTAAGACGGTGTCTGCTCAATGAATTCTTTAGACGTGCTTACTTGGAGGAGTGCCTCTGAGAAATTAGCTCGTATGTAGAGTGCCCAGCGCGCTCTCTTTTGTGGAACTCAGTGGCCACTTATGCTATATGGCATACCTTCTGAGTCTCAGCAATTCGTGCCAGTTTTTTTCTTTTTAAATGTGAATGACGAAACTGGCGAGCTTGTCAAAAGAAAAATAACGACAAAGATATTCGCTGTGCACGCTTTCGGAAAGTTTCAAAGCTTTCCCGTGTTATGAATGGGTCCTTCACTCTAAGCATTCTGCGCGATGGATGATGGCATTTGGCTCGTAACCATGAGCTCTCATCTTTCCCAAGTGGCGATTTGCGCCTACAGAGTGTCCCGGAGTACTTTAGCGCTTTTAGTTTACCCTCAGGTGCTTTTCTTCGTCATCAATCACCAAAGCGGCCACTCCCCACCGCCTCTTTTCTCTTCTCTTGCTCGCTCTTAGCGCAGTTCATTTTGCATGAAAGCAAGCACGTATCATGTATACGCTCACGTATCGCTCAATATTTTAGCTATTTTGGTACCTAATTTGGCAGATGTGCTCAAAGTCCAGAAGACAGAGTGCATCCTCGTTCAGTGCACTTGCTAGGTGATCCCGAGTGCTCTCTATTTTTTTTCTATAGTTACGTCAGCGTGCACGTTTGCAGAAAGAGAGTTTGCAAGCTAAGCGGAGCCAAGTCGTTGCGAGTCGCATGCTGAATCGGTAAGTGAACATGATGGCATTTTGACAGCATTGGCGTCGCTGTCACAACGAATCAACAGACATTACATATCACCATTCCTGCCACAGCAGTATTGCGCGGAAATATTTCCCTTTGGTGGTTGTGTTGGTAATGCTCGCTACTATGGTTTGCTGAAAACCAGCATTGTATAGCGGATTTCCAATGTTTGACCGACAAAAAGAGATGAACGAACGAATGAACACAAACACAGAAACACACACACAGACAAACACACACACATATACACACACACGCACACACACACACAGGTTCTGTGTTCTATTACAAAAATAAATGTATAAAATTTCTGAAAACTCGAAATCCACCCACGATTTTACAATTTTAACGCTAAAACGACGGCACTTACGCGACGAATCGTGGAAGCACTCGGTGTTACCGCTGACTATGGCTTTTCATTAACAAACTCAGGAGCCCTTCACCTACCGGAGAAATGAGCGCAAGAAAACATATGCATGGCCGTGCCTGGCCTTTCTTTCTTTCTTTCTTTCTTTCTTTCTTTCTTTCTTTCTTTCTTTCTTTCTTTCTTTCTTTCTTTCTTTCTTTCTTTCTTTCTTTCTTTCTTTCTTTCTTTCTTTCTTTCTGTTGTGTCCGAGCGAGTGGGTTCCGAGCGAGCCTCGGAGCATTAGAGAATGAAACGGTGGACGACCGGTTGCAAACGACCCCGGTCATTAAGACTCCTCCTCTTCCTCCATCTCCGTCCCCCGCTCGACACATTGATATGCCGCTCACTTATCCACGGCAGTTCGGGTGCTACCCCCGTCTGAGTAGAAATAAACAAGTTTTAACCATTCGAGGTTGCCTATGCCTTTTCACTACTGTTCAAGGAGTACATGTATGGGACGACGACAACCCCGGACATAACAGTGGTGAGGAGAAAGTGGATTTCGACCTGCACTACGCAACGCTTTTGACAAGCAAGTCACGGCTACGCAAGGGCTCCAGAATCGGCTACCCAAATTCAACGGCTCATCATGGTCATCGTGGTTTGGACGCCTGCAATTTTAATTCGAGGCTAACAACATCAATGATGTAGCAATGAAGAGAGCCAACCTGCTAACGCTGTGTAGGGAGCAGGCATATGACACAGTCTGTGCCCTGATTCAGACACGCACTCCAGCAACTGTCGACTACGACGACATCGTAGCTGCGCTACACAAGCACTATGATCTTAGGCCATCGGATGTCTACAGCCATGCCCGCTTCCAACGGCGAGATCAACTAGAAGGTGAAAAAGTGAGCGATTACGTGGCAGCTCTTAAAAAAATCGCTGCTGACTGCTATTTTAGAACGCCGACCTCAGCAACTTCTGCCAGTGCACAGGAGGGAGAATCGAATACCACGCCTGCTAACACCATTATTCTCCCCTTGGACGTTACGTTACGGGATCATTTTGTGTGCGGACTGCGTGACGAAGGCCTACAACAACGCCTGTTCGCAGAGACGGGTCTCGCATTCTCCAAAGCGCACGACATCGCCCAGCGAGTGGACAGCGCCGGTCACCAGCAGAGGGATATCTGACGGACCGTCGAGCCAGTGCACCACACCAGTCAGCAGCCAGGCCATTCTGCAACCACAGCAAACTCAAGGAAAAAACACAGCGCTGTTGGCGATGCGACAACATGCACAATCCCCAGGTATGTCGATTGAAGACAACTACGCATAATTTTCGCCAAAAACAGGGACACATCAAAAAGCCATGCATTACCAAGCGCAAACAGCCCAGGCCGAAGGGCTAAGCGCAACGTAACCACAATGTCAACGCTCAAGAGGGCCAAACACAACATACACAGCCAGAACATCACTAACGTCAGCGGCTCTATACGACTTAAACGCCGTTGCGAATCTCGGCACGAGACCGAAGATACTGACAGAAATAGTAGTACACCATCGCCACATTGAGGTGGATTTTGGAGTAGCATGCATGCTTATCAATCAGGACACTTTTCCAGCTACTTGGAGTGAGAACGCGTCAACTCTCCCGCAAGAGGACACGCAGTTCTATGAACGTCAGTCGAGAATGAGCTTGACCGACTGCAGGAGCAAGAAATCATCTAAGCGACGCAACAGTCAGAATGGGCTACACCACTAGTTGTCGTCCGAAAGAAGAACGGTACCGGACTCCTCTGCGGAGACTACTCAAGCACAGTAAACCTGTCTACAAAGGCATCGTGCTACCCACTTCCGACACTGGAAGAGGTGTTTAGCACGCTTCGTGGTGGAAAAAATTTCAGCAACTTGGAATTGACACAAGCCGACCAGCAACTGAAGGTGAGCGAATCAACGTCTGAACTGCTCACAATAAACACTATTAAGGGTCTTTACAAAGTTAAAAGGCTACCATTGGGAATATCTGCAGCGCCAGCAATCTCCCAGAAATTTATGGAGTCTACACTTAGCGGGATCCCTGGAGTTTGCGTCTACCTAGAGGATGTTATGATCGGGGGCGCCTCCAATGAAGAACACACAGAACGTTTGGAGCTCATTCTTGAAAGGCTATCAAATGCTAACTTGCGCATCAGTAAGGAAAAATGTGTTTTTGCAGTGCCTGAAGTGAAGTTTTTTGGAAATAAGATTGACGTGCAGGGTATTCACCCCACTGACGACAAAGTGCGAGCAATCACTAAAGCATGGTCGCCTACTAAAAACAAGAATTGCAATTGTTCTTAAGGCTATTAACCTTCTACGACTGGTCTTAAAACATCGAGCAGCAGTGGCCAACGATCTATACGAGCTCCCGCAGAAAGAAGTTCCATAGACTTGGTTGCCACGCCACCAAGAGTCATTCGTTGTCCTTAAGGAACTGCCACGGAAGTCTACTTTTCTGCGACATTACAATGAAAGGAGACCCCTACTGCTAGCCCGTGACACACCGCCATACGTAGTAAGAGCAGTCCTCTCCCAAGCGGACGACAAGAGACGAGAAGCCCCGATCGCTTTCGCATCGCGCACTCTATCGCAGGCAGAGAGGAATTATTCCCAGCTAGACAAAGAGGGACTTACCGTCGTCTACGCAGCAGACCACTTTCGACAGTATATTACTGGCAGAAAAGTGACCTTCATAACTGATCACCAGCCCTTATTGGGTATTATTGGCACCCAGAAACCAATGCCACAGACGTTGCCGCCACGAATGGCACGTTGGTGGATCAAGATGTCAGCGTACGATTATGAACTCGTACGTCGCACTGGCAAGAAACACCAGAACGCCGACGCACTAAGGCGCCTGCCGCTAGACACCACAATAGATGAACGCCCCCGCCAGGTGATATACTCATGTTCGAAGTGCTGCCGAACCCTCCGCTAATGGCTGACATAGTAGTGACATCAACGCAGGAGTTCACGGTCTTGAAGGAAGCCTATGCAGCTATAGAGGAAGGCAATTTGCACAAGCTAAAGGGTGAACCCTTCAACACTTAGGATGACTGCCAGTTGGGCGTGTTGTTAAATGTTCACAATGAAACAAGCGCAAAAATACACACACTCAGAGAGGACACAGACAAACGCAAATTTCAGACAAATTTTCCGTTGCTAGTAAGCGCTTGCCGGTGTCCTCTCTGAGTGTGTGTATTTTTGTGCTTGTTTCATCATGAACCTTCAACGCTTACCGCAAGCGGGCTACGGAGTTGAGCACTCATCGTGGCTGCGTCACCTTGGGATCAAGGGTGGTGATTCCTGCGGCACTTCACGAACAAACTATGTCGCTTGTACACGCAGGTCATTGAGGCATTGTTGCCATGAAGAAGCACACCAGAAGTTATATGTGGTGGCCGGGTATTGACCGTGACATCGAATCAACAGTTCACAATTGCCAGCCCTGCCAATGCAACTACAGAGCCTTACCAAGAGCTCCTATACCGAAATGGGAAAGACCAGAAACGCCTTGGCACACCCTGCACATTGACATTGCTGGACCTATCGAAGGATGTTCATGCCTGATGGTTGTTGACGCACACACCAAACGGCTGGTGGTAAAACAAATGGCCACAACGACATCGGTGGCAGTTATCGACACTCTGCGGTCGTTGTTTGCAACGTTCGGATTACCGCGCAAGGTTGTCTCCGACAACGGCCTTTCGTTTGTGTTCACGGAGATTCTCAAGTCACATAAAGACAACGGCGTCTCGTCTATAACGTCAGCTCCATACCACCCGGCAACCAACGGGCAAGCCGAGCGCTACGGGGCAGAGCTTAAACGTGCCCTCGCTAAAGTTCAGACTGGGACGAAGCAACGTTGCGTCACGCGCTTTCTCTTCAACCAGGTAACACTGTTCAAAGCTCTACAGGAGAAAATCCAGGTAAACTGATGTTTGAGCGAGAAGTGCGAACCCAGCTGACAGCAATTATCCCGCAGCCCTCGGCGAAGACATTGTTCGAGGAAGAAAAGCTGCTACATAGCAGGAGAATCGAAAGTAGGCAGCGCATATACGCCCACCAGTTTAACAAAGGGCCTGGCTGTGTTGAAGCGACGGTGCTAAACGCACAGGTTTGCAATCATGGCTCGTCGGCATTGGTGGAAAGGCCCGACGCTGCCACCTTAATCAGCCACATCATCCAGGTAGTTTGTCAAGGGTAAGCTACCATTCAAGCAGGTACCCCAACAGCAGCTTCGTCCCACTTAGCCTGGCATATCGCACCTGATGAATCGACGCCGCCGCTGACAGGCACTGAACACTAGGGAAATCACACTCAGCGAGCCGAGGCTCCTCTTTCCCCCAGAGTGTCCTCATGACAACGGCAGTCCCCAGATCGCTTCCAAGCGACAATTTAAGGATGAAGGAGATGTTGTCTTTCTTTCTTTCTTTCTTTCTTTCTTTCTTTCTTTCTTTCTTTCTTTCTTTCTTTTCTTTCTTTCTTTCTTTTCTTTCTTTCTTTCTTTCTTTCTTTCTTTCTTTCTTTCTTTCTTCTTTCTTTCTTCTTCTTTTTGAGGCACAATACTCACTCCTTATTCAAGTTTTCAGTTTTATGATGGGCAGTGGTCTCCACCTGAACGCTGCTTTCGGGCTGGATCGACATGGTGTCTTTTGTGTTCGTTTTGGGTTCCGTCAGCTTCTAGAACGGTGAAACTAAAGAAAAAAAAACCGTCGGGTAGTCGCGGGCTAGAAATTCAATTTTCTCGAAGCTGGAATTTTTCTATATTGTGCCATTTCTCATATCGACCTTAGGCGTTGTCCAGTGACTGGCTTTTGGCCCGCCAACACAGAATATTACAAAGTGCCTATTAGAGTTGTACTACTGCCCCATTGTTTCTTGCGTCCTCGGTTACATGCATTCGTCTGGTTCAGTTCAGTTCACATCGGGAAAGCATGGGCACGTGGTTAGTCAGGACACTCGTCTTCGTACCGGGGGGAGCCGGGCTCGAAACCCAACCTCGTGGTGCATACTTCAGTGACAAATTCATTCTGCAGCAATAATGGGTTCCTTGCATTACAAGAGAGACTCTTATTCAGAGTTTTCGTATTCCAACGGTTTTACAAACCTACACATGAACCTGCACAACCTTCACAACGGGACATAGTACAATTGTAAACACAAACAAAACCTCGGCGATGATATTATCCTATATTGTAGCCTTGAAGCGTTATTTAGAAGTAATGTGCGCTGTAGTTTCGTTAGAAAATTTCCGCTATATGTCACACGGATGAAGGCGCAAACGTAGAAAAGTAGTGGCTTGTACAAGCACAAAGACTACTGGTTGGAAAGAAGTAAGCAGGTGTGTATGAGCAAGATTTGTGGTGCTCAGCAGTCCAAACGTGATCATCGGCCTGCATTGGTGCTTTTTTGCGCGCACCAGTGAGTGCTGAAGACACAGAGCTGGCTAGTTCTAGTAGTCATACCCAATTACACCGACCTTGGGTAACCGGACTACCCTTTATTCCGACTGTTTTCAGACAAGGCAATGCTTAAACGTTGATTCATAAGAAAATTTGCGGTTGCATCAGATAAAATAGCTGACACATTATGTATATTGAACATCCTGAAGCCCAAAACGCCCGAATATGTTGGCTTTTCTTCACCAACTGATGGCTTTTTACCACAAAAGGGGGCTTTCCAGCTCTAGAATCATTGTGTGCACAGGTGCGCGAGCGGGTTTGTCACTGGTATTTTTTTGTATTACGTGGGCATTTCTAATTAGCAGAAAAACAGTAGTGCCCAACAAATATAATGTTCAAAATATTCTAATGAGACGTTTTGGAAACCAATATACAACTTTCTCATTTGAATTTTTATCCATC